AGTCAGATAACCTCTGAACTATTAACTATTAATAACTAATTGATTATATTTGATTATACAGGAGTGGTCTTGAACAAGAAGATATGCGCACATTGTATAAATACTTGGTGACAAGTTTGTTTCCTTCAATAGATCTCCAGGTAGGCTGGAGAATATTTTCTGTCTGTTTCACTTCATTTTGGTACTTTTCATCTCGGAAGAAGATGTATCTTGTTGAACCAACATTTTCATTGGATCAATTAAGTTTACAGTCATGTGTGGCTTTCATAAGAACAGCAATTGATAGATCTACCTAGTGTACTAAGTGTTTTATCTCAGTTTAGTTTTGATTTCAACTATATCATTAAGTGGTTCATTTTCTTCTCGTTAATTAACCAGAAGAAACAAATCACATACAGTACAATGGAATCCCAATTTCTCGAACCCTCAATTTTTTAAACTTTCTGATAACTTGACAAAAAGTCTTTTCCTGCCTGTCAGTTGAACACTGTAATTTTATCTCCCAATTTCTTGAACTACCCTGTTATTTTTCAAAAATATTCTTGTTTCCCTTGGAGGTTCGAAAAATAAGGTCTATTTCCACAGTAGTTGAAATCTAATATCAACTGCAACATACACATTTTTACTGAAAGACATCCATGAAGTAAAGGGTTAATAAACATACTGGCAAACTGTTTTCACAGAGTATGGAAAATCCAAGATCTCAAGGTTATGTTGTTGTTCCACCCAAGTCACATCATGGAAGGTACTGATCAACCACTCCTTTACAGACCTGGCCTCACCTGTTCAAAGACTGGATAACGTTATCCACCGGATAAATCGCTGTCCAATGGATAAGTGCTAACAGAACAAACCACACTGTACGCTAGATAGTGATTTATCTGGTGGATAGCTTCTTACACCTTTCGAACAACCCAGGCTAGGAAGAGGGAATTTAACTTTTATTCCTAACTAAGGACTTCTAACCTTGAATGCCGACTTTTAATTAATCTTTATTCTTATCCACACTTTTCACAATTTCTAAATACTCTCAAACGCTTCTTACAATACAATACTGCTACTTACACTACTTACAGTACTGGTACAGTAAGTTACTTACACCACCTACAATACATTACCACAGCTACTTACACTACCACT